CAGAGAGAGAGAGAGAGAGAGAGAGAGAGAGACAGACAGACAGACAGACAGACAGACAGACAGACAGACAGGCAGAGAATAACGAGCTGACGTTGCACTGAAAAGAAAAGTACATAACAACAAACGCCGGCCCTCCCTCCCTGTATGTACGTGAAAGTCACACACACTCTGAGGAAGTTCGACCTCTGGGTTCTCTCCGATTGGCAGGGAAAAACAAAACCAAAACACAAAAACACCATAAAAAACAAAACAAAAACACACATATAAAAAACCCCCACATATATACAAAAACATAAATAAAAAAAAAACCTCATAAAAACACACACATATAAGTAACAGTAACAAAAAAAACTTAGAAACCCACACAGAAAAAAAACACAAAAACAAAAGAAAAACCAGCAGGCCCCTTGGCTACGTGAAGTTAGGTTTTATCAATCACAGCAGAGGCGGCATCGTGTTCTGGGCAAGAAGACTGGCATTCTCATTGACGTCACGGTCTAAAAATAGACCTAGAGGACGCACTGCTGCTGCACCGTTCTCATGTCAGGTGTGTTTTTGTTCACATTCCGGGCGCACGCACGCACGCCGCACGTACACATACGTACACGCACCCACATGCAAACATAATAAACATAACATACACACGTGCGCGTAAACACACACACATACATACACTCACGCAGACGGAAAATGGAGGGGCTGAAGAGAGACTGACGGAGAGACAGACAGAGACACCCACCAACCACCCAGTTAATTAATGATAACGTTATCACGACAGAGTCTCTGTGTTTGGCAACCTGTTTGATGGAAAGACGGGAGTAAACCACACCAGAGTGACAACACGTGTTTGATGGAAAGAAGGGAGTAAACCACACCAGAGTGACAACACGTGTTTGATGGAAAGAAGGAGTAAGCACCAAACACGCTCAGATAGTATAAGATTAAGAACGCACACAGTAACCCACACCAAAATGCCACCCACCAAACACCTAGTTTGATGATGATATAACGCAATCACAATCGAATCTCTGTCCTTGAAAACACGACGTTTTTGGAGAAAAAAAAAAAGGGGGGGGGGGAGTAAACCACACCAGAGTGCCACCCACCAACCACCCAGTTTGATCATGATAATATTGATAACGCTATCAGGACCGAGTCTCTTGTCTTTGACAACACGTACGAAAAGGGGGAAGAGGACTAAATCACACCAGAGTGCCACCCATCAACCACCCTGTTTGATGATGATAACGCTATCACGATAAGTCTCGTCTTTGAAAACACATTTAAAAAGAGGGGGAGGGGGAGAGGTGGAGAGAGGAGTAAACCACACCAAAGTGCAAGCCACCCACCCACCATCCACCCTGTTTGAAGACGATAACGCTATCACGATCGAGCCTATCTCTGCCAGTCTTTGACAAACAGGATGAAGAAACTACCTCTCCCTACAACAAAGACACACGACCTTCAAGATTCAAGACACACCCCTTGACCCCCGCCTCACAACCCGCGTCACCACCACACACGGCACGTACAAGAGGCCACAGATAACGCAATAGTAGGCCATATTTTTATTATATTATTATTATTAGTCTTAGTAAGGAGCTTGTTTTTCTTCTTACGGTACTGACATCACAGATAGTGAAGGTCAAATATGTTTTTAGTGTGTCAGTAAGAGTTTTACAGTACTTGCCCAACAAATAGAAGGTCAAATATTATGATTATAGCATTAGTAAAAGTTTTACAGCACTGCCCCACAAATAGAAGGTCTAAATAAATGTCTTTAGTGTGTTAGTGAGTTTTACAGCACAAATAGAAGGTCAAATATTAAGTATTTAGTGTAAGTAAAGTAAGAGTTTTACAGCACTTGCCCTCACAAATAGTGCAGACGGAAGAGTAGAGGTGGTACAAGAGAGTAACAAACAAGCATAAAAAAGGAGAGGGATAAAGATGATGGATGTTTTAGTTTTAGTAAGAGTTTTACAGCACTTGCAACACAATAAGGTCATGTAAGTGCTGAAGATAAGAGGAACAAGAGTATAACAAAAACAAAGAGAGGAGGAGAGACAAGAACGAATGAATATGTTTAATAGTAAAGAAGCAGCAAACCACACTAGTGTAGAGCACCCGCCAACCACCCACTTACAGATAACTGTTAACAATAAGAAGAGATATGAATTAAGAAAGCCAGTTAGTGTAGACAAACTGGAACAGGCTAAAGTTACAGATAAAGTTACAGATTATGCTACTGGTGAGGTGCAAAATGTCAGCAATCATATACGATTTATGCGCCCCCCCCCTCCTCAATGCAATTTATTATATCATTATTGTCAGGGCAGGCTGCTTCCACCCACCTGTCAGGCACAGCCCAGGCTGAGAGACACACAGCACAACATCCCAGCACACAATTTGTGGAGATAACCCCCCCCCAACACCGGAGATTATGCTAGTTATGTATCAAAAAGCAACACTTAATAATAAACAACGAAACAACCACAGCATTTACACCACCCCCCCACCCCCCGCCAAGTATAAAAATAAGAGCATGCTAAGCCTGAGCAGCATCAGCTGTGCAGTTAAATTGCATTATACAGCAAGTCCTGGACCGAAAAGAAGACATTTTATAAGGAACAGATGTATAATGAGAGAACAGCAAATACTACAGAGAAATAGAAGAAGCAGACTCCATCACAGTATCCAATGACTGTTGTAAAATAATGGACAATGAGTGCGAAAAAGGAAAGAAAATTAGGAGGATTATAACAATATATGATATAAAATCCAGACTGAAAGAATCATTGGAGCGTAGCAGAAAAAAAAGAAGAAAAAATTTAAAAACCCAAAAAAGAAAGTGGACTCACCCTCGACGCGCTGCTCGTCGGGCGTGATGGTGGCGCACTTGATGCCCACATTGTACTTCTTCATGGCCTCGGCAGAGTCGATGGTGACCTGGTCGTTGGTCTGGTCGCGGTACGGCAGACCAAGGTCATAGTACTTGCAGTCCACATCAACGTAGGGGAAGATCAGCTGAAACAACACAGGTCAAGCTATGATGATATATTCCGGAGCAAACAGAAAAATCTTCTTGGTTTTAGTTTTAGTGAGAGTTTTACGGCGCTCGCAACTGCATAAATAAGCCATAAAATCTCATTCTTCTGAGACTGAAAACAAAAAACACAATAACTTGTACACAACAAGCATAAGATGACTTTAGGACCTCTAAGGCTTAAGACCACATTTGATTAAGTTTCTTTTTGCAAATCAAAGAGAAAGGTAGCTTCTTTCCTTCCACACATCAGCCATATGATGATGTTTACTGTAAACCAAATAGCAAAGTGTAACCCCCCCCCCCCCTCAAAAAAACAAACTCCCACAGGATGTGAGTTGAGCCTTGACACACATTCATAATTACATGACACTCTTTTCTCCAGTCAATTTCCAAAAGCAATTAATACTTTTACTTTACTTTCCCGATTCAGCGGCCATCTGGGTTCTAGCCCTTCAAGCCTGAAGTAACCAATACAAAAAGAAAAATAAAGAACTCTCTCAAACATATCATTAACACCACTTTCGACCCTTAGACCAGCAAAAAGACATCATATATGATTATCTTAACCTTACTTTAAACAGTCCAATAGAATAATTAATTTTGACTTTTTGCAACAACAAAAAAAGAAAGAAAGAAAGGCTCACCCTCTCCTTGATCTTCTCCCAGATGATCCTGGTCATCTCATCTCCATCGAGCTCGACGACTGGGTTGGCGACCTTGATCCTTTTGTCAGAATCTGGCGAGTCACACAAGACAAGGAGATAGTACAAATACAATATGAATACGACACTCCTCCCCCCCACCTTCCCCTTTTCATTTCACAGCCATGGGGGCAATTATAAGAATAGAGGCTGTACTACTGTACTAACTCTGAAGTCATAATTCGTATTGTAGTACAACTTTGTTTGAGCAACAACAAGTGTGGACCCAAAAGAGTTCGCAAACACCATGATGTAATCCAGTCAAGCATGCTAGCATGAAATGTTGACAGGGTTCAAAAGGTCACCGTAGTCAGCCGTCAGAGGAAAGGCCAGCTCTATCAGCCATTTATCTACTGTAAAAGTTCTGCAAAGTGATCAACATGTAATGTAATTTCTGAGGGGTCTGGGCAAAAATAACATTATAATAAATTCCTTTTTATTAAATGTGTAATGCAAAAATTCAGTATCAGCTGTGATGCATAAACTTGTTTAAACTTGGCAAACCGGGTCAGTCAGGTGACCAGTGAGTGGAATTATATTTTTGTTAGAAAAATAAGAGCAGAAATGGAAAGATGAAATTTGACAGACATATGAAGAAATAGAAGTCAATTTTTTCAACAAAATAATTTGAATGCTTAATCTACTTGCCATGACGCCATTTAAAATAGATTTCTCTAATACCACCCAACTACTTGCAAGAGAAAGGACACAGGACCATCAGGACATGATCTGCTGTGTGCAACCACCCTGCCTGCTCATCTTTTTCTTGCACATTATATCTACTTTTCAAAATAATCCTCATCTTGAATGAGATGTACTGTGTACGCCAATACCCCATCTGCAAAATAAAACAGCAAACCCCTAAAAATCCTCTCCAGATAAACTTCTTTGGTTTTTCTGCACTGCATTCCTTGCACTCTGGACTGCACTACCAGTCACAGCAAAGACTGGGTTATTTCACAAGATATAACTATAACTTATTCAGCCCTCAATGCCAGGTGAACTGGGTTGGGTTTTTTTTTCTGTTACTCACCCCTCACTTAGAGTAAGAAGACTTCCTTTGTAACAACTATCCTCCCCCCTCCCCCCCCCCAAACACACACAAAACAAAATCTTGCAAACATGCTGTATCACTTTGAAAAGTTTACAGTACCGACAATACTGTCATGATAAGGACACTGACCTAAACTGGTATTTGATTCATGAATAAAAAGTAGGACACTGCAATGTAGGACAGGTGTCTGGGATAAACGAACCTAATGACCCTCCACTAAAGTGACTCTCAAGTAATTTGCTTCAAACAATAACACGGAAGTCAAAAGAATGCAACAAATTAAATCAGAAGGTCTCCTTTTCTGAGACGAAATGCTGTGGTCTGATAACCACCACCAGCAAACTACGCAGTGTGATCTTTTCACATTACATTGAATTTGAAGCTCCTTATTCTTTGTTTTAACTTTAAAAAAGACCCAAACCCCTAATAATGTTCAATGGCTGTTCAACTACCACGTTTATACACTGTCCAATTTGGAACATTTTGTGGACATCCATCAGAGGATAGTTGTCAAGCAGGCTGTAAACTTAAAATAAAAAATCTGGCAAGCAATATCAAACAATATTCACTACAACCGGGTGGTCACTGTGGTATGTCCTTGAGCAAGACAAGACTTTCCAATTAAGAAGGAAACAGTAAAAGAGCTCAGCAACCAATAATTATGCTTTTGCATGACTTAAATTGTCATTTCTTTGGGTGGAAGAAAATGTAATTCTGATTCCCGCTAGAGATGTTCACAAGTCAATATAATGAAGTGCACTTGTGACGGATGTCATGGAAATGAAGCCTCTGGTAATACCTTTTATTTACAGAAAGATCTGACGCTTAACGTACTTGTAAAGCTTTTTCAAATACTATAAGTGTAATGGTGTTTTAAACCCCCATCGATACAATTTAGATCATTTGGGAGGCAGGCCTCCAACCCTACCTGTCAGGGCCAACTGGGGCTGAGAGTGAGAGGAGAGGGATAGCCTACATCACAGCAGAAAGATTGAGATACTTGATAAACATTTTCTCTCCACTCGGGCTTTCTGCGTGCGACAGCAAAGCACCTAACCATTACATCACAGACATCCGTAGGAGAAACTTAGAACTCTTGGTCTTGATGGAAGGACTTCCGTAGCGAGCGACCACCCCAACAAACATAGAAAGACTGAAAAGAGACCTAACCCCGATCCCAACCTCTATTCTAGTATACTCTGTATCATACTGGTCGCTCATTATGGAATTCCTCTCCTCTTGAAATACCAATTCGGCAATGGGAAAGTGAAAGGCACTGGACAGACACAAAGTCTGTTTAAAAAGAGAGACGAGTTTGCTAATCGACAAACAATAATAGAAACACTGGGCATTTTTATTAGTCAGTCAGAAAGCTACCATATTCTGCCTGTAAGGTGAAGCCCGAAGAAACATCCAAGGAATCATTCTGTATCTCTTTGTTAAAAGAGAAGCATGAACCTATTCTTAAATTGTACAAGTAAAGAAAGGCATTGTGGAAGTAAATCACATTTAACGGATATGTGCATGGGCAAGCCCCCGTCACGCCAATAAAGACCCAACTTAGACTCAGGGGACTAAATGTGCATTACTCAGGTAAATAATCTTAGATTATGGGAAGAGAGGACTGGAAAGCGGGGAGATGCACCAACAAGTTCAATCATGTACATTTTGACTACGTAAGTGTATACAGACCCAGTGACCGGGAACAAAGTTACGAAGTATACATAATACAGACCCGGCAGGGGAAATCTTTTGTGATTTCTGAAAGTTTCAGCGCCAGTAGTCAGACCCCGTAGAGTGTGTGTGTGAGTGAGAGAGAGAGAGAGAGAGAGAGAGGGGGGGGGGTAGAGAGAACAGGGGAAGTGCTAGCATCCCATGCCCCAGTTGACACAGGATGGAACGAGAGAAGGATAGAAGAGTGGGAAAGTAGGGCTCTTTTTTCAGACTTGTTCCACTCAGGCTCAGGCTATCTCCGTATTTTGATTTTGGATTATAACAGACGCCTACTTATAAAAATTAAAATAGGCCAATGTAGACTTTAAATCACTGATTAATTCTCTCTAGATCTCGATCTACAATAGATCTAGAACTAGATCTAGATCTAGATTCTAGACCTATTAGGCATACCAAAGACAAAGACAGTGTGTAAACTGTCTCTGGGTCTACTATTACTATTAGGCTACTTTTTGAAATCTCGCCTTTAGTGGCTTTAGTACTTATCTAGATTTAGATCTAGTTAAGATGCTAAGTAGACTCTAGATCATCTAGACCTTGAATAAAAGACACCAAACTTTCGTTTCTCTATAGGCTACCATGTAACAAAGAATTTTAGCAAAGGACGGGGTTAGGTCGTCGGGCGATGGGCAACCCGCGGCGGTAAATCTAACGACATGCTGTGTGCGGTTCCGTCGTAATCCTAACCTACTTTGCACCGGTGATGACAGAGAAAAAAAACGAAAATATGTGCTTAGCAAGATACTCACAGTTTCTAGTTTGAACTGAATTCACACCAGCCACAGCAACAGTATTTTGGGCATTACTGCCAATTCTTGAAACAAATTTTGCGATGGAAACCAAAGACTTTGCCATTGTGTTCTGTGAAGTACGAGCACTCGCCACGATACGCACCGATTCCAAAAGGATAACACACTTGACTACTCACTTGGCCTACACACTCAGTAAGGCCTACACCAGGGCGCAACCACTTGGAGGTGGCAGCCTACAGGTTTTCAAACAGAGTAAATGCAAAAATGAACGTAAACGTATGCACAAAAAGGAAATTAGCTATTTTTAATTAAATAAAAGAAATCTATAAGTACATTTGCTTATTTTAGGAAGTTGAAGATGACAGGATAAAAGCGTAACATAAATAAATAAATTAATCTCCCCTACGAACAAATGAATGCTCCCGACAACGAAGGGATTCCCTTGCCATGTGACACTTTTCGACCGCTACGATTGGTGTGCGTCTCGAGGCGGCCATTCTCAAGGGTGGCTTAACGGGGTCACCTCGATCACCACAGTAACAAAGATATTGCGGTTTTGAGCAATATTTTCTTTCCTGACAGGTAACGTTTCATATGCAATTGTAGTCTCTTAATATCTTTAAATTTCAATGATGGTTATTAAAGAGAAATGATGTGTTGGGCCTAATATCCCTACCGGCTTTTTCGTGAGCGAAGCGCGGTGCGTGATGCACTACCAGAGCAGAGCATTGCCTTACTTTCGCGTTGTGCTACGTCTACGTTGTGAGCTGTGCCTGTGCTGTGTGCCAGCAGACAGCCTACTTGCTCTGCAAGTCTCAAGAACGAACAAGGACAAACTCAGAAATTGTGAAATGTCTTTTTAAAGAATATTTTTGCTCATCAAGACTAGGTGTACCTCATTGAAATATCAAATTTGCACATTTAAAACTTGTAGCTGCATTTCCACTCGATTTTAGACCACTCTACCTTTCTACTTTACTACACAACTCAACACCTTGCTTGGCTGGCCCCTAAATTAAAAAAAAAAATGTTACCTACTCAACAAAGACAAAGAAGATACTTTTGAACCAGATCTAGAATATCTATATTCTATGTATTTGTCCCACTCAGCACTCCCGCCTTTTTCTCACAAAATTCAAGGCATAAAGAAACTGCTGCCTCAGAGGGAGAATACGAATTCTGCTTTCAAATGTGTTGTATGTCCGCCCAGGTGTGATTATTTAATGTTTCCAACCCTTTCTTCATTTCATTTGCCTGGTGTTTATCAGTACTCAGTCATGGTTGACAGTTTGAATAGTCTTGTTATCTCCTTGCCTTGGTTTCCTTCATCCAACGAGCTACAACTTCACCATATCAAACTCAAAGTCCAGCCAGGACCTGGGAAGTAAAGTAGAAAAGGCGTTTTTCTCGTACCATTCATCATCTGTTTTCAAAATTTAAATTCTTTTCAGTATGTTTTTTCTTTCACTCCTGTCTCATGCTTAGGCATTCAGGTGTTGTATAGCCCTTTTTTATTGTTTTTTTCTGTTTATGTGCGATTGTGTTCTGTCTGTGAATGTTGAGTGTTGGAAAAAAAAATGGCCATGGGATGGGGATGAAACGGAATAAACAGAGCAGCCACTGCTAATCTCACCAATGATTTATGTGTGGTCAGCGGATGGCTTATTATGGGGGTTTGTTTGTTACGATTTGCATGCCTCACCCTGACTCCTCATCAGCAGGTGAAAACTTGTCCGAGACCGGTCAGCTCGGGTAAACACAGTGCTGTGCTGGTCAGCCAGCAGTTTATGAGGGGCTAACAATATTGACGAGTGAATGGATTATTATAATGGTTCATCCACAGTGTTAGGGGCCGATGAATAATTATAATTTATGACCTGTCAAGTGATGAGAGATTTCCATATAGTTTTGTCAACTTGGACAGGTCTTTGGGGCTGTTGGTTGATGAAACATGACGGTTGTGGCCAAATTGGACAGGTTGCTGTCCAGGACAGAGCCATTTTATTTAGAATAAACGAAATGCCAGGGGGGAAGTGGCCATTTGGACAGGTGGTCACTGCAGTTCAAAATTGAATGTTTTCATGTGCTTCTTAGGGCCTTTACTTTTCTTCATTTACGTTGTTGAGGGAGGGGGTGTTGACGTTGTAGCTTATAAATGCCTCTGTATGCATTATCACTAATGTATGGTTTGAAGTGTCCGAAGTAAAACCTGTGGGCGATTGGCTGGTGCACTGGTGTGGCTTATCTCCCTTTCTTCTTTCTTTGTATGTTACTCTCTAGCAACACCTCTGATCTGTACTTTGTAGGCATTTCATGGATTTTAAAATAAAATTATATGAGTCTCTTTGTACTTTGTAATGATTAACTTTCTCATACATAAAGTTGAGAACGATTGAATATGTGGGTGACTGTCAAATCCTCAGGTTTGGCATGCTCCTTCTTTCTTATAAAACATCTATCGTTTTCATCTCTCCTCCTTTTTTTTGTGTGTTTGTTACTCGTTTGTAACAACTCTAATCTTCCACACTTTTATGACCTAATGATTGTGTTACAAGTGCCGTAAAACGCTTACTTACTAAAACGAATATTCTCGTTTTGTTTTTCAGCCCCCAGGAAGATCTCCATTTTGTCGTGAGGCCGTAGCCCGTGAGCTAGCCGGAGCTCCAGCAACATGCTGCGAGTACACAGAGTGGCCTTGATGGCCGACGTGGGCAGCCATGTCTGCAAGCTGAGCGCCCGCTGCAGTCGCGGTCTGCGTACCGCCGTAGGTCAGCTGTGTCAGAAAGCCGAGTCGGAGACTATCGCCGGGATCCCCTACAAGAACTTGTCCATCGGTGTGCCCAAGGAACTTTTCACAGTGAGTAGACGGTGCATAATGAGTGCTGAATGAAATTGATGGGAAAAGTTCTTTATGGTCTGTACTATTTCCCTGTTTATATTACAGTTCTTGTTTTGGGTTGGTTTTTTTCCTCACCAGCCAATTTGAGTTGCACTGTTTTCTGGTAGTATTGTTAATTTGATGACAGGCAGATGGCAGGGTCCCTTCTAATTAAAGTCCACTCTCACTTCTTCAACTTGTCTCTGTTTTTATGAGTTTTTTTGTTTTTTATGCTTTTTCCCAGCATTACTTGAACAACACTGTGCGGTTGTTTGTACTTTAAAGTAGGCTTTTTCTGGTTATATAATGCTGTTCCTGTAACCGAACCTTCCCTAGTGGTGGAGGGTAACAGATGAATATTTCGGTGCCTGACTGTTAACTGTACATTAGTACATGTATGCTCACTTTACCGTTTTTTTCTTCCCAGAACGAGCGGAGAGTGGCCCTTGTGCCGTCGGCGGTGCAGACCCTTGTGAAGAAAGGCTTCACCATCAATGTGGAGGAAAATGCTGGTGTGGAGGCGAAATTCTTGAACGACGATTACGCTGCCTCGGGTGCTAATGTAAAAAGTCTGAAGGATGTGTATGGCTCCGACATCGTCCTCAAGGTTTGTTCTTTGCTGGAGATGTTGCTAGAAACTATAGGATTAAAAAATTTGAAAGGGACTTCTTTTATTAATTCTCTAGATATCGTATGTAAATATATATTTTGATGGAGATATATTGCTGGTTGCTGTGTATGATTCAAAGGGTTGGGAAAATGGAACTGTGATGAGTTGTTTAGTGTTATTATGAAAATTTATTTGATGAAAAGACATTATCTATGTTAAGTTTTTCATGTGTTTTATTGTTGATACTGTCTTCGAATATGGCATTTTGATTTCGTATGAGTTTTAATCTCAAATTGACAGCTTGATAATGGCCCGCTTGGTTTAAAACAGAGTGCTTTATACTGAAACAAACACCCCCCATCCCCTTAACAACAACAACAAAAATTTACATTGTATTCCTTCACTAAAATGTGTAGCGTGGTGTACTTTAACATAATATTTAGAGTACGAAAGTTGTTTTTGGTCCTTTTTTAAAATGTATATGATTTTTCCTCGTGTCCGTTCAGGTTCGAGCTCCCCTCCAAGAAGAGTTGTCCAACCTCCGCGACAAGGGCACTCTCATCTCCTTCCTGTACCCGGCACAGAACAAGGAGCTGGTCGACTCGCTGGCCAAGAAAGAGATGACCGTCTTTGCCATGGACTGCGTGCCCAGAATTTCTCGAGCCCAGGTACTGGTGGAGTGCTTAACTTTTCTGTACGTTTACACGAAATAATGCCATACTGGTAAAATTGAAGGCAAACGAGGCAGGGGTAGGTCCAGAACAACCTACTTTGAGAACCGAAACAGATGGGTAACAGGGAAAGATGAGGGTAATGTGGCTTTTTCAAGAGCATCCGAGCAAAAGAATGAATGGAGAACCATGATTGCTGATGTCTGCTTTAGATCTAGTACATGATGATGAGTGCCATATTATGTTTGAAAGAGTTTAACCCCTGGGCTTGACTACGATGAGTTGTGACATTGAAGTTAAAGAAAAAAAGAAGGCAGAAATTTCATGCTAATATATAAAGTGTCAGTCGCACATTTGCACATTTCTCAATCACAGTTGTAAGAAATATAAGTCATCCCTCACACCTTCCTTGCTTCCTAACGCATTGACCTGTTGGAGGATTTTAGGGAAGTCAAGATCTAAAAAGGGGGGGAAGCTGTACTTCCACAGTCTATTACCTCAATGGCTACGGCCCAGGCAAAGTTTTATCATGCATACTGCTTTGTGATTGTCAAGATACGTAAGGCCAAGCATATCATGATGATCTGTATAAGCACCTCTAGCTCCTTTCCTTTTCACCCCTCATGTTGCCAGCTTGTCTTCACACCTCCATGTGAAACATCAATTCCGTTGCTATAGCTGTGGTTCAGACGAGCTCGCAAATGTATGAAACAACAGACTAATTCATACCAACCCTCCTTTTTTTTTTAACCAGGTGTTTGATGCCCTTAGTTCCATGGCAAACATTGCTGGTTACAAGGCTGTGGTAGAGGCTGCCAACAACTTTGGTCGGTTCTTCACTGGTGAGTTGTGCTGCCGGCTCATGTGTCTGTCCTGTCCTTTTCCTGAATGTTGTCACTAGTTGGCAGGCTCTGATGAGTGGGCTGGGCTGCTTGTATTTTATTTTCAGTTGGCTCCATGGTCTTACTGCAGCAGCGATAGTGTTCAGCTTTGTGTAGAGGCTGTTTATTGAGGGTATTTTTTTGTAAGAAAAGAAGTTCACATCCTGTACTTTCTAATCAACACTGGACTTTTGTGGAGAATCTCATGCTGAACCATATGCCAGTGTGCACCCTGCTCTCTTACACTCTCATTTACATATGATTGGTATTGCTTTTTCCAGAAGCATGGTGCCAGTTTTGAGCAGCTGCTATAGTTTATTGGAATATTTTGTTCTGTGGAAGGGAAATTACTCTTTTTTTAGAATGAAGAGATGCTTTTTTAAACACTGTGATACAGGGATTAGCTCCCCTCCTCCTCCTCATTGTCATTGCTGTCACCTGTAATTTTTGTCTGGTCATATTGTTCGTTCAGTGGCTGAAGTAGCCATGCTAGTTGTTTTTTTCCTGCATCCAAAACGTTATCATGAAAAACAGTAATAGTTGCAAAGTACACAGAAGATGCTGTAGAGCCTGTGTATATGTGCAAAATGTAAATGCAATTATTAATGTATTGTTGTTGTTCTTCTTTTATTGTTATAATTAATATTATTATTCAGCGATGCCACTTTTCCGCTTTTTTCTGGTATTTCCGGTATTTTGATCCTGATCCGCTGTATTCCGTTACTGAGATTGAGATAGAATCTATAGTTGAAAAAAAAAATATTTGGGTTTCAAGTTGATATTCATATTATGTTAGCGAGACTGTGGTGCGTGGATTTTCAGCTATTTAAAAAAAGTTGAGTGGCATCCCTGATTATTGCTGTTATTATTATTATTATTACTATTGTTATAACTATTATTATTATTATTACTACTACTATAGTTGTTATTATTATTGTTATTACCTCTTGGTGAACAGGTCAGATCACAGCTGCTGGCAAGGTGCCTCCTGCCAAAGTGCTGGTCATCGGAGGTGGAGTGGCCGGCCTGTCGGCCATCGGCACGGCCAAGAACATGGGTGCCATTGTCCGCGGCTTCGACACCAGAGCTGCCGTGAAGGAGCAAGTGGAGTCGTTTGGGGCTGAGTTCTTAGAGGTCAACGTCAAGGTAAGATACACGCACGGGCTTTTTGGAGATCCTGTTATGTGAGGATGATGTTTTATTTGAAAGACTTTTTCACGCCTCTTAGAGTGAATTAACTTTTCAGAAATATGGGTTCTGAACATTACACAATGCTCATTTTTTTTTTCATGAATGGTTTCCTAGAACCATATTTTTGTTGTGCACATTCCATTAGTTATGCCTTGAAAAAGTGTTGCATGCTGGTAGTAAAGTAAAGTTGTTCCGGTATCGGATCCGGACCTGGGGGGATTGCCTTGTGAGTGAAACTACTTCCTGGGCTTTCGGCATACTGTGGTAGGGTGGCCAGTTCCTTTCCACCCCTCCTTTACCTCCCCAACTGGAAGCCAGGTACCCATTACATGCTGGTAGTATTGCCTCTAATTCACATCAGAAAGTTTTCATTATATAGCTACTGAAATTTTGATGGGGGTGGCGAGCTTCAAAGAAATTTTCTGATTGTCGTCAGTGTGAATTATTTGTCTGTGCTTGCAGGAATCTGGAGAAGGCACTGGGGGCTACGCCAAGGTGATGTCCAAGGAGTTTATCGAGGCTGAGATGGCGCTGTTTGCCAAGCAGTGTAAGGAGATCGACATTCTGGTCACCACTGCTCTTATACCGGGCAAACCGGCGCCCAAGCTCATTTCTAAGGTAAAGGATGGCAGAGATTTTGTCCGTTTTACTTTCTTGAATAGTTTGTTTCGTTTTTGGGGTTTTTCAAGATAAGGGGAAAAAAAGACTTAGGCACAATTTTTAATTTTTATGACATTGTCGTTTAAAAAAATTTTTTTTTTGTTTTGTTCGGCTTGCTGTATATTTTGTTCATCAGTGCTATTTTTATGAAAAACTTCTGAGTCACGAAATAGTGACATATTCGGCACGGTTATGCATGAAGTGTATAGCAGAGTCCATGTGAATTCGTAAAAGACAGTGCCGTAAAGTTTTTACTTAAAACTAAAACATTAAAGGTCAGCCATGCCTAATGTGTTCCGCATGCTCATATTGCCTTATGCAGCTGCGAGTGGCATAAAACACTTGCACCCCC